GGGCTATAAACCGAACCACCTTATACTAAATATGGTGACTGTATCTCATATATGTGATCTACTGGTAGTCTCAAAAACCTCCTTTTAAAACAAATAATAAGTGACGTAATCGATTGCTATACCAAATACAACTTTGCTTCTTCGGCAATTCCATCACAGAATGTGATATGGTAAAATGCCAGGCCTTCATTGAAATTTACATCTACCCTGTGACCCAAAGATGCTCGTGACAATGTGACGTAGTGGTTAACATGTCAAAATGATATTCAGAACTGTGATGGTTTGACTCCTGCTGTGAGTGTTGATAAGACCTATCCGAGGTCAAAACTGCAGTCTACTTTGGATAAGTATACGTTTAGGGAAAGCAAGGTCATGTGAAACTCAATGGAAATTTAAGGTCTGCTCATAGCATTGTGAGAAAAATTCAACCACCAATCCCCTTATCAACTAAACGAAATACGGTGAATACACTTCATATATAAGTGATCAACTGGTAGCCTCGAAAACCTACTTATAAACGATAAATTCACTATCAAATGCTTGGCAATCCCTCTGTGAGTGTATTTAGAGATGTTGTGAACTTTTATACAGACCATCTCTCAGAGCAGGCCAAATACTGTTTTATAAGCTAAGGGAGCGAAATATCGCGAATCTTCTAAGTTGGATATACCATATATTCGTAGTAAGGCTTAGAAACTAGCATTCGATCTCTAATAAGAGCCGTATTTCCCTTATTTTGCATAAGATAAAGGACTGATTGTTGAATTTTCCTCCAATGGTATCAGTAGACTTCACGATATCATTGAAATTCACCTAACCAGCCTCCCAAGGGGTATTCACCTCCCGGATGAGTTGGAGTTTTGACTTCTCCTAGACCTAATCATCATCCCCAGCAGGAAGCGGACTCTTCTACATTTCGAAGAAAAGTTTTTTTTCGAGGAATCTATTGTTTCATAATTGTTGAGTTTACTTCCATTTCGAGTGAAAGTGTTTGGTAAAGAGATTCGAAGGCCGATTCCACCAGAAGACGACGGCGGATTCATCTCGACCAGCTGTCATGTTGACGCTGTTTCCAAGGTAATCTGCTTCGATTTCTGTAAAAAAGTGCCAAGCTTTCGTTCTTCATATGACGAACATCAGCAGATCAACCAAATTCAAGCCAATGAGTAAACAAAACTTGAATTTGGTTGTAAGGATGATACCTTGTTCTGATGATGTTCGTCATATGACGGATGCAAGCTTGGCACCTTTTTACCGAAATCGAGGGAGATTATCTCGCAAGCAGCGTAAACATAAATGTTCCCGTTAAGCCAATCCACAACTAGTCAAGAGGAATCCACCGTCGTCTTCTGGTGGAATCGACCTTAGAGTCTCTTCACCAAACAATTTCACATGAAATAGAAGTATGCCCTTCTGCACTGCACAATAAACAAATATTTGCTATTGCAATCGACAACCCTACTTGTATTCATTTTAAGTAAAATCTTTAAATTATGAGTACATCTTGAGTCGGATGTTTAGTCTCAATAAGTCACTTAAAGTGGAGAAGGTCTGATAATGAATTTTACAAGATCTATTCACCCAATTTCGTTTAAGGTGATGGAGGACTGGTAGTATAATTTTCCTACAATGATATGAGTAGAGCTGACGTTTCCATTGAATTTCAGAAAGCCTTGCTGTCCCCAAAGTTGTTCTCATCTAGAATGGACAGCAGTTTCTACCTCACCTTATCAATACCCCCAGCGGGAGTCGAACCGTGACAATACAGCATGTAAGCTTTACATGTCAACCACTCGGTCACATTGCTGCGAGTGTCCTTGGGTCACAGGCAGACGTGAATTTCAACGAAGGCCATGCCTTTTCCCATATCATACTCTTTGGTGGGATTGTCGATGAAATAAGCGTATTTTTGCTATAACAATCGACTAAATTGCTTAATTTTCGTACATAAGTTGCGTTTTGAGACTACTAGTAAATCAGTTATATGAGATTGATTCACCCTATTTCATTTAAGGTGATAAAGTACTGGTCGTAAAATTTTCCCATTTCATATAGCTGATTTACTGGTAGTCTCGAAACTCTACTTACATACGAAAAATAAGTGAATTTTACCACACTTACTACGGCATTGTTAGGCTCAATTACCACATTGTGGGAAAATTAATCCATCAGTTGTATGTTTCCTAAAGCAAATACAGCTTTTATTCATGGATATATCATGTCTGCCATCACTTGTGCTCTTTTAAATGTATCGTTTTCATTATATTGTTTTGAGAGGTGACCATTGAAATTATTATTTTTTCCATTTTCCTTCCTGTGCTCAGGTACACTTTGCAGTGCGTCTTACCTCTTAACATGTTTTTGGAGAAGATCTATGTGTTCCTGTGGTTTTGGCACTTTCTTGTTGGCATCATTACTTTGATCAGTTTCGTAACATGGTTTTTGCGAATGGGCTTCAGTCAACGACGAGTCCAGTTCGTCCGGAAGTATCTCAAAATCATGTCAGTCATGCGCGAGACGGATAAGGCAGCAACTCGTCGCTTTGTGGAGCATTATCTTCGACCAGATGGCGTCTTCCTGCTTCATCTAATCGCCATTAATGTTGGCGATCTGATGGCCGGTGATTTGGCCTGCGAATTATGGCACATCTACCGACACAAGAGGCTTCAGGACATGGAGGAGGAGGCGAAGTTTCACCTGGAGGCAGCCGCGGCAGCAGCCGCGGTCGCCTCGACCACGACAGGTCCGTCGAGTGGTGGCAACATCAGTCCCATCGGTCGACTGACAGCCTCTTCTCCGCCAGCCCCTCCGCCGCCGTCGCAGCAGTCCTTGCAACTGCCGCCCACCTCGGCGGGACTCGGACTTGGGCCTTGTCTAGGAGGTGAATTCAACCTGGCTGATTCATCGGCCGGCTTGAGCCTCCTCGGAAATGGCCTAAGCTCCACTGCTCCCGGCGTGATCGGGACAGCAGGCCTGCCAGGGACCCGGGGTACAGGAGGCGCAGGACTGGGGAATGTGCTCACCGACCCGACCGGCGTAGGGGGCGGTGGCAACGCGGGAAGCAGCGACAAGGGCTTGAGTGTATCCGGTGCTTCTTGCCTCCAAGTGGGTCTGTCCGGATTGAATCACAATAATGGCATCAACGGAAGCAACAATAATGATGACAGTATTGTGTGACCTAACAAAGCGACACAGGTATCCCAGTTTCCGGTTGCGCCTTCGATTGTCGTTCCTCATGCAACAGCTTGCACACACGCACACATGGATACACATCTATAAATACAGGAGCGAGTACATCTATCGTTATGTGTATATATTTAAAACTTTATACTGACTGGCGGCACCGGCTATACGCTGCCTGTATGCAACAATCAGATGATAACTGGCTCCGCTGAAACTGGAGTCCAATCGGCAAACTTCTTGCTGTGTCGTCTGCCTGAGCTCTGCATGCACGGTGGGCTTGCCACCTGGCCAGGGGAGGCTGAAGTACCACCAGCAATAATCTCCTATTTTGTCCTTCACACTGCGATTGCACCAACCTTCGTGCCGGCCTATGCATGGATCTTGCTCTGCCCATGAGCGAGAAGTCTGGAAAGCAGAAAGTCGTCCCAATTGAGTATTTGGTTTTATCATCCGCTTTCGCCACAGTCCATCACTTTCAACGTGGCGATGCTGGCCACCTCTTATTGAGGTGTGATAAAATGGAAGATCTGAATGATAGGGAATGACAAACCGGGGCGATAATTGCCAAGAAAATAGAGGAATGAAGAGGCGAGAAAATCATCGAGCGTGTAAATTTACTCATTTTTACGCTAAGCTAATGATCAGCAAGCTTAGACAGACAGACTTGCATGTAGATAAGGAATGGGAGTTTCATTCAAAGCTGGATTGAGAGGTACAGAAAAACAAACATTATAGGTAGGTATGTAGAGCTATAGAGAGTCTGAAACGGCGGGAAAAAGGACGCCCTATTTCTTTCTGGATTTCGATTTCGTAGATGGTCGGAACCGAATAGATTGCAACTATCTTCTTTTCGAATCAAGATTACACAGTCCAGCAGCTGCGCCGTATAATTTTACCACAACTCCACTATTCACATATCAGCTTGATGAATTCTGCTGAATCATTTAAGTCGTGAAGACTAAAGGATTCTTGACGTCTGCAGCGATGAAATGCTTTCTCCACTACCAACATCACCACCCACTACTTTTATGCCCTCAATGAACTCATATATTCAGATCGCATTTCTTAATGAATGCCACTTCTTGGCATTCAACTTCATTTCACATTGGCAAATCAAATCTGATTTGTTTATGAGGCAAGATGCATGACCTAAGTGGATTGCAGTCGTGGCAATTTCTTATGTTTATCTTCCATTACTCGACATTTTATTTTTTAATTCGCCTCTTCGCCCAATCATTTGCCAACCCCTTATCATTATTCCCATCTGTACATTCAGCACTCCCTCTGTTCCAGTCTCACAAACTGTTGACATTATTTAGTCCTCTATTCCGCTCCTATGCCCTCGATCCGAACGAATTTTGCATGTTTCTATGGCCGACGCTACGACGTGTTTGGGTTTCGAAAGGACAAAATGAGCTAAATGCGTAGGAGTGTATTTACTTGGGCTAGGTGAATTTCTTTAGAAAAATTCTACTTTATTTTATCTTAGCATAATGAAAAACTGTACTTCACGTACGGGTCCTGGCCTACTTCTTTTCTGTACTGCTCATATATGCTTGAATAATCACTGTTTTAGTTGGGTCGAATGAATGCTTGAATATCACTCCCATTGTTCTGCATCGCTGTGCGATGAAGATGCAATGGCCTCCTGTAAGATGTCTTTAGGGCCGAGATGACTACGGCTTTGAGTCATATTCAGTTTCCAGAACCAGCAATGTCTAGATCACTCTTCGTTCAGAGATATGTAAAGCATTTTTTCAATCCTTAATCGTGAGGCCCATTAACTGTCATTCCTAATGATGACTGACAGAAATTCGGCAAAACGCCCCTTATTCCATCTTACGTAAAGCTGTATGTTAAAAATGCGTTGCTTCTCTCATTTTCCGTGTACACAACATCACCGATTTTCGGTGACTGAGAAAGATATCGTCTTAGCTTGCGAATTGTCTATTGAAAAGGCGCATAATCCGGGGCACCCTAGTGACCCTTCATTCTTTATCACTGTTCTGCGAGGTTAACTCATTGAGGCCGCCTAAATTAAGACCTGCGGTGACACAAGGAGATAAATTTACTTGGTTGCCACCTCGGCATGCATGAATGTAGATAAACACTTATGCATTCAGTTATTTTTTCAGGGGATCATCTAGTAATTTTGAGAGTTTTAGCCTTTGGTTCACTAAGTTACAGTCTCTTGTCCATGAATGTCTGTGTGTATGCGTGTTTGTGGGTGTGCGCATGCGTCTATTTTGGCTACAGAGCAGTGAGCAACTTGCTTTCTAAACATATATGCCTGCGCGTGCGAAATGAATCAACTATTTATATAGATTTTAACCTATGCATTTCATCGCAAGGAGATACTCTAATTTTACTATTTTTTCAGGACCAATATAGAGATTTATTTGCAAGCACTAGCCACATGTTCAACTGTTTCACTCTGCCTTGACATCACCGCTACAGGTTACAGGGTGTATACACTTATCATGTATTACTTA